CCAGCGTTCGGACACCAAGAAGAGCCAGTCCGATATCATGTCCAGCAAAGTGGAAGAAAAGACGTGCGTTACATCAATATCAAGTGGGCGGACGCCCTTGCGCTGCAAGGCCGCGTTGTTCGTCCCCGATTCTTCAACGGTGTCGAGCGGGTGCACTTGGGCCCCGTATTCCCTCGAGCAGATTTCGCCCCCCGGTACTTCCACAGCTCCTAGCGGCCCACCTTCCTTTCCCTGTGACTACCAGAGAACCACAGTGATGATGCGCAACTTGCCTTGTCCGTTTCTACGCGTCGATCTGATCACCGAGATGGACAATCACGGGTTCGCAGAATATTACAGCCTAGTCTACATGCCCTTGGATTACACGACGGGGCTGAGCTTGGGCTACGCGTTTGTAAACTTCATCAACACAGAGCAGGCACAGCGCTTCATGATTCGATTCGAAGGCTTCCGCGACTGGCCAAAGCCGTCCTCAAAGGTCTGCTCCGTCACATGGTCTCGGACGCAGGGCCTGATCGCGAACATCGAACGCTACAGGAACAATCCGGTGATGAGTGAGGATCGGAGGAGAGCAACGTGAGACAACAGCCGTAAGACAACGGTGGCCAAATCGGCTCAAAATCGGTCCCCAGACCCCTCCCGGGGCCCAAACGCACCGATCTTTCACGCTGCGTCCAGCCGTGGCGACGGGGAGGCCCCTCGGAGGCGAAAAACGCAAAAACGTCGCCCTTGTCTCACCCTGCCTTCCTCTGAGAGGAGATCCCGGACGGGTTCAAGCCCGTGCTGTTCGACGGGAACAAGCGCATCCCCTTCCCGGCGCCGACCAGACTGCTGCCCGCCGTCAGTCCCGTGGTGCCCGCCGCCCCCCCGGCGTAGCCCGCACCTTCGAACTCGAGGCGCAGCAACGACTCGGACAGAAATGCTCGGAGCTCCGTGCGGAAGGCTCGGGCCGGCGCCTGGGCCTGCCCGGCGGCGCCTCCGGCGCCGAGCCTGGCGGGGAGATCCATGGATGGGGCGGGAACTGGAAGAGGCTTCCGTGCGCACAGCTTTTTTTTGTTTAAAAAAGAACACCAAAATATATTTTCATAATAATAATAAGAATAATAATAATGATAATAATACTAATACTAATACTCATAATAATAATAATAATGATAATAATAATAATAATGATAATAATAATAATGATGATGATGATGATCATGATGATAACAATTAATAATAATAATAGTAATAATAATAATAATATAAGAATAATAATAATAATAGTAATCATAATAATGATAATAATAATAATACTAATAATATCAATAATAATAATGTTATAACAATAACAATAATAAGCATAATAATACTAATGATAATAATAATAGTAGTAATAGTATTAATAAAAGAAACGACCTGATCCCGGTCTGACACCGATCCAGAAAACCGGGCGGAGCTCCGAGAGTTTACGGTGGTGTTGCTTCGCCTGCCATCGACGGAGGCAGGGCGGCGGGGCGGGTTGCGGGCTCGGAGCGCCCGGGGGCCCCCGGAGGCCCTGGAAAAGTCGAGGCGGGGGCTTCCCGTCGTATTCTCGCCCCCTTGGGGGCCGCCGTTCCTGAGCCCCAGGGACGACACTCGAGGCCTCCCAGGTGGAGTCGGAGGAGATGCGGTCCTAGGATCGCGCCGCATCGCCGATGCATCGGCGATGCGGCTCGATGTGGAGCCCGCTTTTCTCCACACCGACGTCGCCGATGCATCGCCGATGCATCGGCGGTGCGTCGGCGATGCAGTGCAATCCCCCGACCCCATCTACTCGGATCCCTTCTAGGAGGCCCCTAGTCACAGAACGACCCGCGGGATGAAAAGGCGGCGTCCAGGACGTGGACGAGATCTTCAGGGACTTCGCATTCGAAAGGCGAAGACGCCTGCTCACGGCACAGTCTGGCGACCCGGACATACGGGTTGCCGTCTCTCCACGGAATGCGGCGGCTTTGCACCGCATCGCCGCAGGACGGCATCGCTCCCATCCGTCCCCCTCGATCTCCCCTGAGATCCGCCGTCGCGAAAAAGTGGCAGCATCGCACAAGATCCTCGGCCGGACCCGCGGCACTGCTCGAGCGGGTCCATCCGTGAGGCCCTTGCCGGACGGGGCCAGGACGAGGATGAGTCCGTTCCAGAGCGTTCCGGACCGCTCTCAGTGCGTTCTGGAACGCTCTGAGAAGGCCGCGGCGCCCGACACCTCTTCCAGAGCCGCCGGACCTAAGGGGTTCTCGATTCATCCTCGGCCAAATTTGTACCAGTCCTGGCTTCGTCTTACCTTGGGGCCCGAAACAAGGCAAAGTTGCCCGTGGAGGGAAAGGTGCGTCGCCAGGATCTCCGACACTTCTGTCCGACGGAGCTCTCCCCTGATCCTCAGTTCTCTCCTCATCCATCGCCTGATCGTTCTAGGCCTCCCAGGTGGGGTCGGAGTAGATGTGGTCGGAGGATCGCGCCGCATCGCCGATGCATCGGCGATGCGGCTCGGCGATGCGGCGTGATGTGGAGCCCGATTTTCTCCGAGCCGACGTCGCCGATGCATCGCCGATGCGTCGGCGACGCGTCGGCGATGCGGCGCGATCCTCCGACCCCATCCACAGTCAGCCTGGCATCGCTCGGACGTGTGCATCTTTTCTCGGCTGGGACCATCGTGGACCATCCTGGACCATCGAGCAAAAAAAACACGCACGAAACCGAAAAATGCACGGGAAATGGACGTCCGAGCGACGGCAAGCCACCCTGTCGGCACGCTGGCTGCGCCCCGAGCCCCTTTGGGAGGCTTCTGGTCGTCCTGCACGGCGGACCGGCGGACGCTGGCTGTTTCAATGGGCCCCGCCCTCTCCTCCCCATCCTCGGGAGCGGCGGAGAGGGGGGTGACGACTAGGGGGGGGGAGGGTCTCATGGCGTGGGCCATGATGTTTCCTCGGATCTCATGGCGCCTCTTCTCACTTCATGACGTCCCTGGCCCCCCCGCGGGGCCGCGCACATGCCGCCAGTCATGATTTGCCACCCCCCCCTCTTGGACACCCCCCTCGTGGCCGCTCCCGACATCCAGGCGCCAAGCGCGGCGTGGAGGGCCCGCCCGGCGAGGAGAGGGGGAGAGGGCCGGCCGGTGTTGTGCCATCTTCGGCGCTCCATTCGCCCAGGGCTCCAGTCGACTAGACGTAAGAGTGACCTTTCGCCGGAGTGACCTTTGGTGCGGGCACAGCTGGGTCCCCAGAGGGCTGCAAATCGGAGCAGGAGCAGCGGCTCGCGCGCCCAGGTTTGGTCCCCCCGCGGCACCTCGAGAAGTCGCGCACCAAAGGTCACTCTTACCCAGGGTCACTCCTGCGTGTAGCCGATCCAGGTCGGGTCCGAGCCAAGCGAGTCTCGGGGGCGTCCAGGCGGGGGGGGTCGGCAGCGATGGCACTCGAAGATGCAGCGTCGCTTCGCATCGATTCGGCATCGGCCTGCGTCGGCCAGCGCAAGACGACTCAAGAGGCTCTCGTGCGTTGCCACAGGCGTCATGGCGTCGCCTCTCTTCAGAACGAGCGGTCCTGCATCGTTTCGGGCCCTGGGACCCTCACGGACCGACGCGGCGCGAGAAGTGCTACAGCATGACCAGGTCCAGGGCTTCCAGAGGAGCTTTTTTGTTCGATGCTGCAGTTTTCTCGTGGCGTCGGATCTCAAGGGGAGGACGGGAGGCATGTCCAAGAGTCGATGGGCTCCAAGGAGCCTCGGGGTGCCTTGCAGCAGCAGCGCCTCGAGGGCTCTCCGGGAGTGCCCGAGGTGTCGCCAGGAAGGCCGCGGGGCTTCGAAGAGGAGGGAGAAAGGCTGGAGTATTGCGGGCACCATGGCCCCTCCCCTGAGATCCTGGCGTCGCATTTTCGTTCGCGACGGGCGATTCTGCCTTGCTGCGGGTCCGCCTGGGGACCCTCACAGACCGATCCAGCTCGAAAAATGCCGCGGAAGATCGGGCCCAGGGCTCCGGCCGAGGTTTTCTGGCGTGCGATGTTTCATTTGTTCGTGACGTCGGATCTCAGAGTCGTCTTTTTCAACGCGTTCCCTTGCCCTCCCCGTTCGTCCGCGCACATGCGCCGGGCCACGATGCGCCAGTCTCCCCCTTCCTGGCCACCCTCGGGATCGCAGCATGCAGGCGCGCGCCTCCAGGTGCGGCATCGGACCGCAGCATCCTGTTGTGACCATCCTCGGGGGAGAAAGGTTTGCATGGACATACGGTGCCGTTTTTGATACATGCTCCGCGCGCGGATCATGTATCAAAAATGCAGGGATTTCGTATTAAAAGCAAGGGTGAGCTCATGCATAAACTCATTCATAACCTAATCATGGATTAAAAACCCTATGTTTTTAGAAATCCTATGTGTTAAAAACTGGCCTGTAGATGTTCGGAGCCTCACGCAGATTTCTTGGGTGGTCGGCGCTCGGCCCCCCCGGACGGCGCCGCCGCGCGGACCTCTGCAGGGTTACGCTTAGCTTCCGTTAGCCCGCGGCCGTCGCACCGTCGTGTGGGCACGCTTGCCGACGAGTCATCTGGGCTCCAGGCGCCGCCTCTCGCGTACCTGCGTGTTCTTCTTCTGCCTCGGGGGCGGACCAGAACCCCCAAGAGTGACACGTCGATCAGTGGATTGTCCGTCTTCGGCCCTCGAGGGGGCGCCGTGGCCGCTACTTTTCCAGGCTTGCGCCCGCCACGTGTGGGCCTCAGGTCGTTTTCACTAAACCACGTTTTACTAAAGGGGGGTCTGTCCATCCCCGACTGCAGCCGGCTCCGCACAGATCAGCCTTCGCCTCGATCTGCTGCTGCGCGTCGCGGGGCAGGCCTCGCGCCCTCCACGAGGAGCGGTCGCCGACGTGCCGCAGAGCGGCCCCAGCGTACACGTGCACCCGCAGTGGGCGCCAGCCGAAACTCGGGTGCTGCCAGACTTCTTCTCCTCCTCCTCCTCCTCCTCCTCCTCCTCCTCCTCCTCCTCCTCCTCCTCCTCCTCCTCCTCCTCCTCCTCCTCCTCCTGCTACTTTGCCCCTGGCCCGAGGTGCCCCCAGCATCTCCACGGAGGCCCCCACGGCCTCCAGAGCATCCTCTGCGAGGCCCCGACGGACCCAGGGGCTCCAGACTGGAGCGAAAAGCGGGGGGGGTGACCTTGGGCCAGGAGCGCCTGTAGCAATCCCGATCCTGCTTCCCCCCCCCCCCTCCTCTTAAGTCGGGCCTGTCCCTCCACAGGAGGAATGTTCAAAGATGCTCAAAAAAATAGCCTGGGGGCACTTGTTCCTCATGTTTGGACTATGTTGGAGTACGTTTGAGGTATTCAAAGGCTTTCGTCCACAATCCGTCCGTAGGGGGGACGTGCCCGACCTAACCCTCCTCTTCACCTGCAAAGAGGGGCGGGGCAGCGCGGGGCGGCGGGGCGGCAGCCTCGGGGCGCGGGTGGGCCGCTCGCTCCCGCCCCGACGAGGGGGAGAGGAGGGAGGAGAGACGCGGACGAGGAGGTGGGAGGAGGGGGACGAGGAGGCTAGAGGAGGAGGAGGAGGAGGAGGAGGAGGAGGAGGTGGGAGGAGGAGGTGGGAGGAGGCTAGAGGAGGAGGCTAGAGGAGGAGGAGGAGGAGGAGGAGGAGGAGGAGGAGGAGGAGGAGGTGGGCACCTTTGGGCAGCCCCCCAAAAAAGGAAAGAGTCCGCCGAGTCCGCTCGGATGGGGCACGCCGCGGTCGGCGCTGCGGGGGCGGAGAGCGCGTGCCTGCGCGCGCAGGTTCGGGGCCACGGGCCCTCTCGCAGGTGCGTGCCCGATGGTGGCCCCTCGCTGCCGACCAGCCAGTAGTGAGCGAGTGAGGTGTGGCTTGGCCTCCTGCCAGCGCGGGTCGTGGTCCGACCATCGCCCGGGCAGGCGCTCTCTTTGATGCGGGCCGTGTTTTCGGCTAGCATCCTTCGTTTTTGGTTTGCAGCGGGATGCTGCCTCTGCCCGGTGCGGGCCGTGGTGACGCCAGCGTGCGGGCCGTCCATTTGCAGCGGGATGCTGCCACAGTGGAGTTTCCCGCGCCGGCCGAGGATCGGCGTGGGCCTCCGCTGACGATGTCTCACCGCGCCTCACCGCGATGCTCGACGACATACTGTACCCTTGAGGACGGCGAAGAGTTTTGTGACGACGCAGAGGACCAAAAAGGATGTTTCAACATCTTCTATGTGCCACCTCAATGGCTAGGGTACTGCACGTACGGTGGAGGCGTTTGTTAAGGAATAGTCCCAGGCGGCGCCAGACCCTGGAGGATTCCTTATCCAATGAGGGCGGTGGTGATATCCATGGCTAATCCACGATTAGAGTTCCACTGGCTTCCAGACCCTGGATTCCTTATCGAAGGTTTCGTCATCCAATGCCCCCACCGTATTTGAAAAAGGTGCCAGCGTCTGCATGTGGTTCCGATGCGAACCGGATAGCGTGGGTATATATTCGCACTTTTGCCATGGGGTCCAAAGAAGCCGTGTCCATCATGCAGCGCATCATCCGTGTGCTCGTGTTCGAGGAGGCACGCGTCCCCCCGTCCACAGAACTTCGCCGAGACCAGCCAAACCCGGCGAATGATGTCAGCATAGTGTGTCTCGACGGCTTTGGCTTCGTCCGCAAGGCCAAAACACGCCTCGGTAGGCTGCAGGTTGGCGAATCAGGCGAGCACAGGGCGTTTGTCGAAGTGTGCGCGCGGTACGGCATTCCGTTAAGCTCGGCCAAATCGCTCGTCCCCAGTCTTCGGTCGGGAATTCTCGGCGGGCGTCTCGATGGAGATCGTGGCTGGATGTCGCTGGCGCCAGACAAGGCCCACGTGCTCGCGATGAAAAACGGTTCTTTTTGGCCAGCCAGGAGGGTTGGAGCGCCGGTGCTCTGCAGCATTGGGCTGGCCAGGCGTGCTGTGCCGCTGGCTTCCGCCGGCCTTTGTTCGCAATTCTAGGTAAGGTCTGTCCGACCATCCAGGCCTCGCTCGCCAGGCCGGTGAAGGCCCAACCGCAGGTCATCGACGAGATGTTGGCGTTTTCGATGTTGTTGCCGCTGGCATTCACAAGCCTCCGGGCCGCTGCTAAACGCAGTATTTCATGTACGGATGCGTCAGAACATGGGGGTGGTGCGGCAGAAGCCGTCGCGTTTTCGTCAGTGCTGCAACCTGGCACAGTTGCCTCCATCGAAGCTCACTTTGCTCGTTTGGCAGAGGAGTCCGATACAGTTGGTTCGTCCCTCCGCGCGTGCGCAAGCTGCTCGGGCATCCTGCCTGGCACGTGTGGTTCAGCAGCGTGCCAGTGTCCTGCGGTGCTGTGCTGCGTGGACTGTTTGGTGGGCCATAGGACCACGTCCTGCCCGTTAGCGAGGACGCGGGTGCCTGGTTTCTTGGAATGGTTACCGGGCCCGGATGCGGAGCTTACCTGGGCAGTGGCCCAAGCGGGCGTGGACGTGTCCGTTCCTGTCGCCCGCGCCGCGCGGCTCCGCCTGGAGCAGTAGCCGGGCGCTCCCTTCGGCCGACTCGTCCAGGAGGCTCTCGCCGCGCACGCCGTGTGGGAGCACTGGCAAATCAGGAGGGAAAAAAACACACAGACACCATTAATCGTCGATCCCCCAGAAAGTATGGGAAAATGTGGGAAGTGGGGGGGAAGACAAAAACCCAGAAAATATAGGAAAATATGGGGATTAATTTTATTTGTGTGTATTTATTTGCGTGTCCTGGGGCCCCTTCAGCAAATCCCTCCTGCCACCATTGCGTGCTCTTGCACGGCTGTGGCTGGCAGACTTGCGCGTGCCAGGCTGGGTCACTGCGCTCCCCAGGGCACCCCCGAGGCGCCCCTGGCTCGCTCAGGCAGCGGCCGTCGCAAGTAGCCAGCGGCAATTGTACTGCCGCTGCAGTTGTCAACCGTTGCCGGCATTGTTTGGTGAACACGGGAGTCTGTGTTATTATGTACCATTGGTACAGTTTCTCTACTGACTTTTCCACACACACACACACATCCAATTTGCACGCGTACAAGCAGGTGTGGTTCGAGAGTGTCCACCTGCGCGAGGATGAATCCAGCGAGGTTACTGTGCACTGCGTCTTGCATAGTTTCCCACAGTTACATCCACTGTTGTGTCCTGCCAAGGTGGACACACCGGCCACTTGGTCGCGCGCTGCTTTTCGGCAGTTGTGCGCGCAAGTCCGCAGCGCTGGCTGCTACAATTTCTGCCGCGCCGTCCACCAGGCGCGAGCGGATTGCAGAGCAGCTGGCGCTCGCTCGCGCCGGGGCCTGCGAGGAGGCAGCCTTTCGGCGGCCGCGCTCGAAACGTACCGGCTGCTACAGGAGATGGTACCAGGCGACGAGCAACAGCATCTACCGAGTCTTTTCCGGTGGGCTGATACTAGAGGATCACACGTGTGGTTGGCCGACAGCGAGGTCGCCCACGTGGTGCAAACTGCGGCGTATCCGGCATTCGCTTGGCAGTGGTCGACAGTTATGTCGTACCCTTGGAGAGCACCCCAACACATAAGCATATTAGAGGTTACTGAGTATTTCAATTATGTCAGAAACCAGTCTCGCTCTTCGTGCTTTCATTCCTTGCGTCTTCTCAACGTTTTCGATAGCCAGGTTGCGCGGCAGTTGTGGCAAAGGGCAGGAGCTCCAGCCAGAGGCTCAATCGCCCGCGCCGCCGCCTGATGGCTTACGAGCTCGTGTTGGATGCCTACTCGAAGGCTTTGTGGGCGATCTCGCAGTGGCAGTTTGCGGACGCCGCAAGCCGCCTCTGCCAACCAAGCAATGACGGGTAGACCCGCCCGCGGACTCTGGAAGGGAGTCCGGCATTACAGCAATGGCAATATGGTTGGCAATGCCAATGCAACTACACGTCACTAATATCGTTGGTTTCTGAAGTAAGTCTCCACGGTCATCTCGCAAATCAAAGGCACACTGATCACATCGAACCCAAATCAATCCAGGTGACAGCTCATCCTTGATGAGGTTCCAAACTTGTGAACACAATGGGTTCTACAGTAGTACATGACGTCCGTGCTCGATCCGATGCCTAACGATTGCGACTGCAAACTGAACATGTGCAAATACCTTGGCTTGGCGTCGTCGCCTCTCCTCTGGTGGAAAAAATATTGACTGCTAGCCACGCGTCACAAGTAAACGGCACGATCGTGAGATATGGATATTCAGACTCAAGTTCCCTCATCGTCTCTACCTGCACATTGGGTAGTAGTAGATCATCGCCAGTAGTACGTAGATCCTTGCACTGTCCGGCTCGCATACAAAATTCCGTCGCCAGACGAGTAACAGGACATTGACCATTGTAAATATGTTTGACTACTGTCCCAGGGATTTGCAGACGATGTCGATCCACACGTAGAACGTTCCATGTAGTTTTCGTCTCTCGTGCGTGGTCGGCTGTCCATGTATCCACTTGTTTCTTCTGGGACTTCGTCATGATGCCGATATCTGCCTGCATGATATGTTTGCTCTGCTTCTGGTTGGTTTCGTCCTCCTCTGCTGCCCAAACATCTAGCGTATTCGTATTGATGGTAGGTGCTTCCGATGCGTCGGCGTCTTCCGAAAGTCCGTGATATTGACCATCCGGTGGTTCTTCTTGAGCGTGTGATCTTCACGGGCGTGTCTGAAGTCGCTCTGAAAATCACCTCATTGTACTTTACACTAATGAGCGTGTCCATGGCGTCCATCTGGTCGACACTCATAAGCATTGGTGCGTCGGAGTTCGGCAACCTCTCGAAGTTGAGCGTGCAATCTCGTCCTTGCATGCCATTCGGCACCGCCTGGGTACTTTCTGCCCTGATCGGGGCAGAAATGTTGATGCCTTTGAAAATCGTTTTGCCGGGCATCTGTAGGGCTGCAAGCTCGAACTTTTCTAGGTGCTTGTCGACGCTCGGTCGCCGCCGACTGGAGCCAGAGCCGCAGTGTCCAGGACCACGTAGCCTGGGGGTACCACCTGCTCTGCCACCATCGTGTCAACCAACTCCTCGTTGATGT